AAAACATTAAAGGTAAAGAGTTTTCAAGTTTAAACTTTTTTCAATTGTATTCGTAGATTTTTAAGGAAACAAACAACTAACAATAATAACTAACAATAGGTAAATAATAAATGGATTGCTGTGTTCATAAAGAAACAACATTTAATTTACTTCATCAAAGTGGAATCATCTTTAAAACATATCGTTTGTATATAATTTAGTTAGTGTGTATATAATGCTTTGATCCAAGTCTCTAAAATACGTTTGTTCGCTTTGAGCTTACACTTACTTTGAATAATTAAGACATAATGGAATATCAATTTGATTTGTGTAATATTCTGTTGAAACATTGTAGTTATCCCTTGTAATAAATGTTTATTAAATAAAAATTACTCTAGTTGACTACTTTAATTTTACTTCCAGATATTTTAAACTTGTTTTACCATGATTAGAATTGCTCTGACGATTGAAAAGTAATCGAAACGGCGTGAAGATGTAAAAATAAAATGATTTAATCAAGTAGTCATGTCAGGAATATATATGTATGTAGTTTTATTTTAAATGTGTACTCGCGAAAATATAACAAATCATTTCATGTTTAAATATTACGTACCCTTACTTAGAAATAATTATTAAAAAATTGTCAGCCCTGTAGTAATGATGCAAGCATATATTATTTTCATTAGGTATATTGATAAATCGACTTACCAATAACCTCAGCCATCTGTATGATTCTTCCAATTTGTTAATTATAGACAACAGAATCTGTCAATTTTTATTAAGTACCAATAACTGGATACCTGATACTTACTATGCCAAACCCTAAGACACGTATGGGTTATATTGTCAATATGATTACATATTAATTTATAAAAAAAAGCAAGGGCAGTACATTAAAGCTATTCAAGATCATTTTTATAGCAGGTTATTTTATTTCCTGTACAAAATGGAATCATTTTTAGATTATAATTTATAAATATAACATCAAACAATGAGTTTGATTAAGAATTTTCCACAAAAGTTAATAAACTTGTAAATCGAATCAAAAATATAAATAAAAGCTTATCCTCGATCGTAATCAGATTTGGGATTTGTAACTGCTTTTATTTGTATATTTACATTGCATGAAAAAATAATGAGATTAAGTCGCATTTGTGAAATGTTAACATCTATAAAAAGTCTATAAACAGAAACATTTTCATTAGTCTGTTTGTGCAAAGAAAAACTTAGAAAAATCTTTGTATCTATATATTTCTATTAATTGGTTAAGTACTTGATTAAGGATTTAAATAACCAATGAACAATTTTGAAACATATGTTACATAGACTTTGTATAGAAAAAGCCATAAATGATAAGAAACTCTTACAGTAGTCTAAATGGGAATAACTAGAAGAAAAGTTTGTTTAATTAAGTTCTCCTACTTATACTTAACTTCAAAGAGGCAATTAAAAACTAAATAAAGCATCCACTAGGCCTTCAGCTCAAATATTATCTTAGAAATTATATTCAGAAATATAGATTTGCCCATAATACACTTAATATTCAGTTTAAGGTGACAACTTAGGCTTTAATTGGTTTTAAGTTCTTTTGAATCCAAACCAACATAAAGTTATTTCGTATAAATTCGCAATTAGAATTTTTCACAATATTTATTTGACCATTTTTATAAGATTATTTCTAGAAGAGAAAATGGGTGACGGAAATAAAAGTTTCCTTTTCCACAGAAAAAGGATTAAACATTTAGTTACACAATTCATGTTTGGTTGAAGCAAAAGTTTCATGACAAGAAAATATATTGAAACACATTTTATTAATTGTGATTACTTTTTTATTCCGTTAAGACTTTAAACAATTAAAGCAAATTCCACACAACACATTTTCAAAAGTCAAATAAAATTATCAAAATAGTTGTGATGACTCCAATGATCTAAAAATACACAACTTGTTTTATTATTAGTATGTAAAATAAAATTTAAGAAAGTGCTAAGCATATTACGCTTCTCATGGATCAAGATTCTATTAAAATTTTAATATTATGTAAAGGTATACCGTTAATACAAGCGGCCTCCCCACGTCACATATTTCTAAAGCTGTAAATTGAACATCGTTTAATACTAGATGTTTATGAAATTCATCGACTTCATAGAAAATTGGATCATTTTCCGACAAAACATAACACGTGATCTGAGCCAGCAATAAACGTATTTTACCAACCTGAAAAATATACAGTAGTACATTTTGGTACATTATTTTACGAATATCAATAAAGTGATTACCATTTTTTGAACCAAATAACAAGGTTCAACCAGCATTAGTATTTTTATTGTATGATGAAGAAACCATAGGCACTGTAGAGCAAATTTAACCTCCACAAATGAATTTTCTGCAATTGGAGGCGAGTTAAAAAAATATATATACACATGGAGATATATAGTATAAAGGAGTTTTCTATTTTTTAAACATTCAGTTCATATACACCATAATGATAGCCAGAAAATAAAAAATGTTTATCTGTAGTAAGATTATCTATTACCTTATTAATTTTAGTGAATCTTCCAACATGTGAATAATATATAAGTATTATCAGAGCCTTACCTACTTTCTACTTTTCTTATATTCAAAAAAAATATTAACAGTACAACGAGTTGGCTTCAAATGCCACAAACGTTGTCGTTTAAAATTATCAATATGTTTGATATGGAGATGGGGACAAATATATTTTCATACAAATATTTTTTTACAATGAAATATGAAGGTCCTAATAACATTGTTTTGAACTATAATGTTCAAATGAAATAATTTTACTTTTTAAGGTGATGAAGCATGGTTTCGCTTTCGAAGCTACATGTTTGTGTTGTCAATAAAATAATAATATAATACTGGTGAAATAAAAAGATCAAACAACGCATAGTTTATAACTAGTACATACATACCCCAATGTATTAACAAAATATTATATGTAGTAAACGCTATATGGGAAGTGAAAGATATAACTTGCAGAAACAACAAAATATTATCTGATGCATTGAACTCTCTTAAAACGTCACAAGCTTCGACGAATGATTTCTTTATATCACCGATCCTTTGTGCTATTTTCTGTCTTTTTAAAGTATTCGCATCTTTAAAATAAATAAATAAAATAATTATTAATAGCTATTTATATAATATGTATAAGTAAAAAAAGGATCTTCATATCCTTGTATGTCTGTGAGTACGTACTCACAGACAGTACGTACAGACTAAGTACGTACTTAGTAGAACGTGATCAACTATGCCCATAGTGTCAATGGCTGTATTGACAGAATCCAAAGATATGTTCAAATCACTGAAATAAAATTCTTCTTATTAAAATATTCGTCTTAATTGAGCACACTTCCATTATAATTCATTTGTATCAATATGAGGACAATGCACTGTTTGAGTTGTTAACTTCAAATCTACATAATTTATTTATACTAACGATCCACTATTTGACAATTTAGAGAGTTCCATTTGAAGTTGTGTCCTTATCATTGTAAACGGTAGACTGATTGAATACACCATATATACAAACTGGAGTTCAAGAGCGGTAATTAAAATGCTTTGAATAGCACCGTTATATTCAATTTGTAATTTTGCTGAAACAATATTAAGTACTACTGAAAGATTATCAGTTTAATGAATTAGAAATCTACTGTTATATTATAGAGATCTATATTCAATCGATAATAATTGGTAAATAATATGGTTTTGGTTTGGAGACTGAATGTTGAGTTAAAATCATACCATAAAATGTAATGTACGTAAATTTTTTGGCATTCTTTGAATTATATTTTAACATTAAAGTTATGTTAAGCTAATCCTTGATATAAGTTACATTAATGAATATAGGATACAAAAAACAATAACTAGAATTCGACGTTCCAACTATTATATTACAGGCTGAAACTGAACATGGCATTGATTTATTTATTTCTCATTTTCTCTTTATTCATTCATTTTTATTCATTTATTCATTATATGAGGTATATTTTATAAGTTGACTTCTATAATTCTGATTAGTACTCAGCCTTCATACAATTAAAAAAGAAATGGGAAATATAGAATTGAAAATCATCGACTCGATCATGATAATATTCTATTCAATATTGTATATAAGTTTCTGAATGAATTCAATACTCTATATGAACTAATTCAAGTTAAAAATAATAACGCTGAATCGTATTAATGACTTCAATAAAATAATATTTGTTTATACTCGTAATTGGTACGATTACGTCTTAGCCAGACTGAGTGTATTTTATTGATAACCGAAACATAATAAAGAAAATATAATACACTAGTTTTTGCCCGCGACTTCGTCCGCGTTAGTTTCGTCATTAGTAATATATGTATAGCCACTTCTTCCCCACCGCACCTACCCCGCTCCCCCCACGCCCCGTTCGCCTGGCACCGCTGCCGGTATTTATCACCGAAATTGCTATGACTCTGCATTTTAAATCTGTGATATCTTCGAAAATATTTATTTAATTTACATGCTGTAAAAAGCCATATTGATCTTTATTAAATGCACAATGTATTTAAGATACTTAATTGGATAAAGATTAATACTGTATTGCTTAAAATCGCTTCGTAAATAAGCCATTATTTCTCGTACAAAGTAAAGGATAAAAAATGGTTATTGTGGGTTATTCCTAAGAGATAAACATATACCATCACGGACTCTTTTGTAGACCTTTTTAAGTTGTACAATACATTGTTTTGATCTATCTTGTAGGATTCAGTCAGTGTTTACAATGTAAGCGCAAAAAATGTGTTTTTTTACGACCTCACATTAGAAACCTCAAAAATTGTAGCTTATGTGTTATTCTGATGTATAAGCTATAGCCTATCTGTTATTCTGATGTATAAGCTATATTGTGGTAAAGTTTCATTCAAATCCATACAGTAGTTTTTACGTGAAAGAGTAACAAACATACATACATCCATACATCCATACATACATACTTACAAACTTTCGCCTTTATAATAGTAGTAGGACTTGAAATGCCCTACGTGCGGGAAAAATTACAAGAGACGAGCCTGGTACATTAAACACCTAAAAACACATAATGGTGTTGAAGCGCGACAATCGTTGGTAAGTTCTTCAATTATCACTTCGGATAGAGTTGACCCTCACGTATCCCATGGTGAACCATTAACTGGAAACCACCAGGAGTCCATTAACATCCGGACACGTCTTAGCATTCCTAACATGAAACAATCGACTTGGAAAGTTCACGACGACAATTTAGCGGTCCTGTTAGAGCATCCGGGCTCGAAGCAGGAATTGAACTCGCAGGTAGAAACTTTCCAAAATACCGTTTATGACTACTTCAACGAGCAATATCCACCACGTAATCATTACGCTCGCAAAAATAAAGAAAATTCGTTCAAGATAAAAATGAGGAAGAAAAAACGGGAATTAATAAAAAATCTACGTATAGCCAAAGCTCTAGGCGACAACCACCTTAGTCATCAGCTAGCTAGGGCGTTAAGGTCAATCCTTAAATTAATTCAAGGAATATCGGCACAAACTGCAGAATATCGCGGTAATTTTGACCGGGCCAAACAGGAAGTAGATTTCGATAAAAACCCTTTTGAGTATTCGAAAACCATTTTTAAGAAAGAACGCGGACAGCTTCTCTTGACCAATGATCAAATTTACGACCATTTCAAGAGCACATACGAAGTGCCTAAAAGTGTAAGGCTCTATACGGATCCAAACGAACAAAAACCGGAAATTCCTCATATCGATTTTCACGGCATACCACCAACGTTAGACGAAATAAGTAGTCACATAAAGAGGAAATCATCTAAATCTGCACCGGGCCCCGATGGTATCCCATATATAGTCTTTAAAAAATGTCCATCGGTTCGTAAACACCTCATAAATATATACGGCAAAATCTGGTCAAGGAAGCAAATCCCGGAGTGTTTCGGGAAAGCAATTTTTGTCCTCATTCCCAAAAAAGATCGAGTTACCGATCCGAAAGATACTAGACCGATAGCCTTAACAAATACAATATCTAAAATCTTTTTCTCGGTCCTACAAACGAGAATGACGCGATTCATGCTCAGCAACAAGTATTTTAGGCCAAATCACCAGAAAGGGTTTCTACCCGGGATTTCTGGATGCCTAGAACACAACACCTTGCTGTCGGAGAGTTTGAAAGATGCTAGAAAAAGCGAGCGGCAAATTACAGTTTGTTGGATAGACTTAGAGAACGCGTTCGGGTCGATACAACACGAGTTGATGCTATTCGCGCTTAGATGGTATAACTTTCCACCCTTAGTTAGCGATATGATTGCGTCGTATTACTCAAAATTAAAGTTTTCTATTATAACTAAAGAAGGCCCTTCAAAAAGTTTGAGTTACAATGTAGGACTATTCCAAGGGTGCTGTTTATCTCCAATAGTATTTAATATTATAATCAATATCCTAGTAGATAAACTTATCAGCAATGAGAAAAAATGGGGGTATCGGTTTAAGTTCAATAACAAATACACGGAATCCATTTTAGCCTTCGCTGACGATCTCGCAATACTGACACGTCTCCCCAAACACTGTCAAGTACTATTGGATGAAGTGGATAAATTCTGTGAGTGGACGGATGGATTGAGGACAAAACCAAGTAAATGTCACTGTCTGTGTCTTGGTAGGCGGAATACAAGATACACCTCATACGATCCGGGACTATCGATAGGCGGTCAATGCGTTTCTACGGTTACGGAAAATGCACCATTCAAGTTTCTCGGTCGTAAGATTGATAATATAGGTCGTACTCCATCTTTAGAAGGAATAGTAGATAGCTTTTTAAATGATCTCAACAAGGTAGATAGCCAGCAGATCAGTAACGTAAAAAAAAGCATGGATCTACGATAATTACTTAACTTCACGTTTGAATTGGCCTTTCCTCGTCTATGATTTTAGTAAAACCCTTTTATCTAAATTAGATGCAGGCGTCATAAAGATGTTGAAGTTGTGGCTCGGGCTCGCGCTAACGGCTGATTCATCGGCTTTATTCAGGGATCGTAATAGTTTTGGGATGAATCTAAAAAGACCATCGGAGCTCTACAAACACCTAAGAGTTTCCAAGAGACATATCCTGGGAAAATCCCATGATGACGTCGTTACATCACTCCCAAAAGACAATGATGCCCCAGAGCTAGAGTCACGACTTCAATTCCATAAACAATTTATGATCGGAGCGCAAAATAACAGAGTAGGGTTAGGATCAAGTAGGAAAGTCCAAGATACGGATATATTGAAGTCTTTTATTCGGCAAGACGAGAACGATAAATACAAGATCCATGCAATGAGTTTAGAAATGCAGAACGAGTGGTTAGACATGGGAGATTTTTGCATTCCACTAGCACTAAAATGGCGCACCCTAATTCATGACTGGTCGCCAGCCTTGCTAAAATTTTATCTCAATGCGTTCCAGATGACTCTCCCAGATCAGAGTAATTTAGTAAGATGGGGTAAAGGTACCGAAAAAACTTGCTATATCTGCGGAAAGGCAGTTGGAACCGCCAAGCATTTGCTGGTGGGATGTAAGGTTCTCCTGGACAGCGGTCAATACTCGCGTCGTCACGATAGGGTTTTAGAGATCATACGTGAAGCGGTTAGTCTTTCGGTAGCCAGAGCGCAAAGGGAAATAACCACAAACGAGCGATCAATAGGTTTTGTGAGAGAGGGCACCAGGGCTATAAAATCAAACGTCAAGCCTTACTCTATCCTTAAAGCGGCTTCGGATTGGACTATCATGATGGATACGTATGAGAAACAATACAAAATCCCCGAGGATATTTGTGCGTCGGCCTCCAGACCAGACATATTTCTATATTCGCGTATTTTAAAGCGCGTTGTGATGATAGAGCTTACGGTGCCTTGGGAAACCAACATCCCCAAAGACCATGCCATCAAGGTCAATAAGTATTACGAGCTCACTAACGAACTAACTCGAAATAGGTTCGTCGTTGATTTGTACGCGGTAGAGGTGGGAGCGAGAGGTATAACAGCTAAATCTCTCTATAATCTACTAAAAGACTTGGGCCTGTCCAGAACTAACATTAATTCATTCTTAGAACGTACGTCGAAGGCAGCCCTAGTAGGTTCTTTTCAAATTTGGTTGGGTAGGGAGAGGAACTTGGACAGTGGAGGTGAGCGTATAACGCGCGTTAGTTAAGGGGCCCCTTAAACCTACACCTGGGTCGCAAGTCCCAGGCACTGTTGAAGCTCCTCTCCCTGCAACGCGATGGACCCGGCACCCGCACGGTGAATCCATTGAATGCTAAGAGGTTTCGTCTCGTCTCTGGCTACTTTTATAAATAAACAGGTGTATGCATTTCGCGTAGTATCGATTTTTTTAAAGAATTAAAAACTACTTACAGTCATAACAATAGATTATACTATCCAAAATCATGAGCACTGTGAATATGCCGCTGAACAATATTATTAATATAACGGCACGTTGTTTTGATGTTTTGTCTTCTCTGCCATTTTGTAAACATTCAAATATCTAAAAAAATGCAATCATTAAAACAATAGTACTTTTTATTTACTTACAAATATATCATACCTTAAATAATTTTTTGTCATACATCATATAATTATTTATTCTTGTTTCATTTTTCACTGTTCCATACAATATCATAATTATATACAATATCGTATTTGCAATTCCAAAGAAAAGTTTTTTGTCCAAAACTTTCTCTTTGTGAACCGATATCCTTTCAAAAACGTTATAAACTGCAACGAGTTCTAAAAAAAAATAAGCTTATTATTTTAATATGAGCAATGGTAACTTCGTACGTACATCGTTAGATATCTAAACTGTTTTAAAATATTTATTAATTGCAAGCTGACACGAAAATTTTAAGTTAACCGAAATATGTATTATATTACCTCTATTTAGATTCTAATAAAAGCTAATATACTTAATTAAAATTTGTGTAATAATCTTCTAGTCTTGGTTATAGACTCATACTATTCACCTCCTTGAGGTAAGCAGTAGAAGGGGAAGGTAAACATACGTCTATCTAATTCAGTTTATCTGAGCCGATATTGCACTTTTTTATTATTATTTTTTTTATGTAAAGGGTGGCAAACGAGCAGACGGCCCACTTGATGGTCAGTAGTTACCGTCGCCCATGGACATCCGCAACATAGGTGTTACGGATGCGTTGCCAACCTTACTTGTGGAGGAAAAGGGAGGGGTGGGAATAAGGAAATATGAGGAAAGGTTGGGAACAGAGAAAGGGCAACCGGCTCTCTCACTCATCGGACGAAACGCACCCATTACTGAATACTTCACACCGATCGTGTGTGAGAGGGTGGTACTTCCCCGGTCGACCCAGCCAGTGTTCGAGCTATAATAAATAAACTACAGCTAGGCTCTACCACCATTGTGTAAATGGACAATTAATTAGCTTTTGAATGCCTGTATGCCTGTATCAGCCTATCAGAAGCCCACTGCTGAGCAAGGCCTCTTTCTCACATGGAGAAGGTTCGAGCATTAATCACCACGCTTGCTCAAGACGGGTTGGTGACTTCAAACTTATAATTTGAAACTATAAGTCCAGGTTTCCTCATGATGTTTTCCTTCACCGTAAGCTTTTGAATAATTCCTCGAATCAATATAATTATGTCTATAATATAAATTGAAAGAATGGTAATATATTGATATATTAAAGACAGTATAAAACTTACGAATGCTGATAACGATGATCGCGTTAAAAAATTTCGTCGAACGTGGAAAATAGACATGAGTCCGATTAGGAGAAAGGCGAATCGGAGCGAAGCAGCAGATTCTTGACAATAATAGTATCACGCACCATGCATCACTCACTGTCCAAGGCTGGGAAGATATCATGTTCTATAAAAAATCAAAATACTGCTACAGATGTATATTTATCTAAGGAAAAATACGAGGAAGCAATCCAATTCTTTTTTCTTTCTTTTCCTAGTTTTAATTTCTTAGTATTTTAAACTTAAATGGTGGAAAAGTTAAATATCTCCCTTACTTCTTACAAAAAATTACTCACTCAGGACTATATATAGAATTAGGAAAAAAAAATCACTCAGTTATATTGAATTAAAATTATAATATGCTTGTAGCCAAACCGTTATTAAACTATAACCTTTTTAACAACAAGAATCATATTGATATTATTCCAGTAATATGGTCATTAGGTCATTTATCATCAGAATAGATCAACTTTAAATATATGTTATTCAACTTCTATAAATCTCAACATTAATGGACTTAAAGCTAAATTACTGATATTATAGCAATCTTTGATCAAACTTTTTTTATGTTTGTCCATATAATCATTTTAAAATATATTCATTTTAATTACTTTAACAACCGGCACGGTGATTTATATCGTTGACTACTTTAAATCCATATATGTTTGGTTTTAAACAAAATTATAGTTTACTTTTATTTAAGGACACAAAATATTTCTAATAAAATCACCTTAATGAGATCTAAGACTTTCGCGAGCATTCATTGAAGTAAAAGTTTTTCGGATTAACTACGCTATTTTAATTGTACTAACTACATACTCCCGACGTTTTTGTTACTTTGCAGTAACTGTGATCACGGGCAGACGAGACGTGAATAATATGAATAATTAAATGCGAAAAATATAGGTTTTAGTTCAATGTTTATTCATATCATAACATACTTTTTTGTTATTTAAGTCAAAGGGGGCAAACGGCTCACCTGACGGAGGTAGTACCGTCGCCCATGGACTTCCGCGGAAGAATTTTGCGGATGCGTTGTCACCCTTGATTAGGGAAGAGAAGCGGAAAAGATGGGAATAGAGAAAGGGCAACACTCTCTCTCACTTATCGGACGAAACGCAGTCATTAAAGGCTTCTCATCTTCGGTGAGAAGGGGCCCGGCAGAGCCAGCCCATGTTCGAGCTGCAGTAATTTGACCGCAGCTAGGGTCTGCTACCTAAAAAAAATATTAACGATTCTTTTAAATCATTTTGTTAATACAAACGGTGGAAAAATTAATTAAAAAAAATAACAGACTCAAGTTTAGTCAATCCAGATATAATATTTAGTCAGTTAATTTTTAACAAAACATTACATTTATTGGATGGAATGACAACGACAAATCAGATAAAATTAAATAGCAAAGTACTAACAAAAATAAATTAAATTCTAAGGACTTATTAAAAATTCCTTAAGAAGACATTCAGTAATCTTTAAGTCTCTGCATAATTATATCAAAGTTTATTTTTATTTCGTAAAATGTTTAACACATACATAAATATCGTGACTTTCAACTATTTATCTGCTTTCATGATAAGTCAGCTGAAATAAACCTTCGCTAGCAAATATACTTTTGCGTGCTTACATGCTCTTTTATACAATATTCAACATCTTACATAACCTGTCTAGCTTCTGTTTGTTTATTGAAACACGCAGAAAAAAAAGTATTTGAAATTTATTTAAATATTCCTCTATATATCCATATCAAATAGCTAAAAATGTATTTGAAATATCGTAGTTTGAAAGCTAGTCAGCAATCAAAATAGTTAGCATAAATAATAATCAATGGTTAAGCTGAGTATTATCATGGAAAAGTCAGTATTGGAATGGGAAATTTTAAAAGTAATAATAGTAGTTGGAAAAAGTATTTCGTCTAGCAAAAGCAGCGCTTTTTTGACAGCAGTAGTTTATATCGCCGTATATTACTTAATATTCAGTGTAGTCCTAATGAATAGTGAACAAACACAACAAAAAATGCGTACATATTTGTTATTAAAAATGTATGCGTATGAGAAGTAAAGACAAAAGAAATAAAACTGACAAAACTGTTTCTTATCATGTTAATATAACAAACATTATGTTACTTGTAAATGTCAAGAGGGTAAAAGAGATTAATAGCTCAAGATACATAATACATATAGTGAAATCAAAGTATACAAATATTTATTGTATATATACATATATTTGATCCATTATTTAACATAATTTTAAAAACAGTGAGGATTATAAAACCTTTTCGGTATATAGGTTAGTCTAATATCTACTGTTTGATTATGAAAACAGTTGTTCATGATTTATGAATAATCAAGTATTTTCTCATGCTATTAGAAAGTAACTTAGCCCCCTATTCTATAGTTATCTAAAACATAAATATAATTCATACAAAGGGAACTCAAAATTAAATTGTGTTTATTTTTCACATAATATGTAAATTTTATTATGTATTTTGGTATCTTTTAGGTAAATTGAATATGTAAAAAATTTCGAAGTAAAAAGAGCACGTATAATTTATATAACTTCTATATATTATAGAACTTTTTTTTTAATATTAATAAACAAGCAATGCAATTTGTTTGTCTACAGAATATTGCAAGTTAAATAATAGTTTACTAAAATTTTATTCCAAGCTGAATGTAAGCTCAGCAAATTAATAATAAAATATAAATTAATGTTTAACCTTTTAATCTATACCATTACAAAATTTGTGCATCACGTACAAACAATTTGATGTAAATGATGTTTAAAATTAAGTGAAAATAATGAAAAAACTGACTAGGTGTCATTAATCAATATATTTTTTCACATTTGATTCAATTAAATACAAAAGTATAGAGTTAGCTTTCTTATGTATTCCAAAACTTTTGTCTTTATACACTTTGAGCCGTAATCACGATTCATAAACAAATTTAATACCTATTATTACAAAACTTTCTTATTTTCATTACTTTAGTATTAGTTTAAATTAATTTAAAAGAACTTATTAATCTCCATTTATACAGAAAATCAGGTAACTTTTCTATAAGACAGGACGTGAAAAAAATTCAAATTTTATAACGTATAGGTTATAAAATTTGAATTTTTTAACTTAAAGACAGTGACTTTGTTTTTAACCCCATTTAAAAAAACATACATAGCCAGAGGAACACCGTTATATGGATAAATAACTCTTGAGTACTAAAATCAACATCTGAATCAGGATATTGATGATACATACAAAAAATATGATGGTATTGCAATCCTAAAAACAAGACAAACATATAGATACATAGTAAAAAAACTAGTACATTTATCGTACCTATTTACTTCGTATTTAATTTTGTATGTAATATATGTTTTAATAAATTTAATATTATAAGATCAATTGCATTAAGTCACATTTGTAATAATCGTACCAAGAACAATAATATATAGGTAAAAGTTAATCTACAGTTATTTAAAACATTTATTGCAATATAATTTCATGTTAAAATATTATATTTATATTTCCATAACTGTTTCACTGAATATTTTAAATACAAATAACGTTAAATCATTGTCCGAAATTTATATATACCAAGTTTATACAGTATTTCGATTCATCAGTATTATTAATAAGTAGTTAGTACTAATTAACGTGGTCTTTATACAAAGTCACGTCCAGTTTTACAAATAATGCAATTATGAAATAAAATTATATTTATTCTGCCCTGAATTCATTACTTAAAAATGACAGTTTGAATTATTTAATTTTATATATATATATATATATATATATATATATATATATATATATATATATATATATATATATATATATATATATATATATGACAATTTTATACTATTATCTTATATTCTTATTTAACTAAATTCCACTTTAAACTAACGTATTGCATTAGATGATTATTATTCTCAGTTACTGGTCTTCAGTGGCATAAGATAACTGCAAAAATGCTTTTTATCAAAATTGATATATATTTATATTCCATCTATTATCTTAAGAGAGTTATCAACAAAATTTAAAGCAAAAATGTTAACCATCAATTTCGCAACTTACTATTCATTAAAAAAGTTTTCAATTTCACATCCTTTTTCATTTCTTGACTGCTAGTCTTATGAATAATGAATGAAAATAAATGAATGTAGACCTCTCGAACAATTATATGTATTTCATATTTTGCCGAAAAAAGTTTATCAGTTCTCTTTTATTTTATATTCACTTTCCTTGGTCTCTTTATTCAATACCATTGAATTCTGAGAAATTCTTACTGATATACGAATTACAATTAATTTTAAGCTTTCGAAAATGGCATACTTATTTATATAAATAAAATATCATTATTTCATAATACGGATAAGAACCACAAGGAAAACATGATGCTATTCAATCGTGAGAATTATTATCCCAGGAAAAAAATACATGATTATTATATAAAAGACATATTTTTGATACTATACTTCTTCAATTTTTAAAGCTTTCAATAATCTAAAACATTGCATATCATATAGGTATATTTTCTTGTTATCATAGAATTTATTTATTATAAAAAAATAATTAAACAATATAGCATAGAAAATTTATTGATATATGAATAATAAATTTTCAGAACAAGATGTAAGGCCAGAAGGCCAGAAGGAAAGCAAACTGGAGCAAAACAACAGACTCTTAAAAGCACAAGTATCAATTTCAATGTGTCGTTTATTATCCAACGATATGAAGGTATCATTTTCAAAAACGATTCCACTAGATAGATTGAAAAAGATTGTTTATGTCTAAATATTTAAATTTTCCAAAAAGTTAAGAAAATAAATATAATATGAAGAGAGCAAAGGTGGGATTTTGTTATGAAGTTTGTTAATCTTTTGGGGATGGGATATAATTATAATTAGTGTTTGACTTAAAAAAAATAAACAACAACAAAACATTGCTTGACAAAGTCCTTATCAGAACATGTTTTGACATAAATTATGAGACGCAACTTGTTAGCATTTCATAGATTCACCGTGTGTATGTCGTGTCTATCGCTTTTTAGCAGTGCCTGGGACTTGCGACCAAGGTGTAGGTGAAAGGGGCTCCTAGCTAACGCGTGTTATAGTGTTAAACAAGGTATGTAAATAGCGTCAGTTTATTCCTAATACTAAAAAATAATTTGTAATGATTGTGTTGTTAATGTGGTCACACACTGAAACAATTTCTCCAACATATATACAATAGTTTAATGTAAAGAGCTCACTTTGTTAATATGGCGGCGTGGGGACCTGGAGACCTGTAATACAGGTATTCCTATACCCATCACGGGCTCCAGTCTCTCCCTAATGTATATTTATATAAGATGATGTGTATATAGTGATCGCAATAAAAAATATGTTATTGTATGATAACACATAGATAAGAAAATATATTTATAAGTCTTTATATTAGTAGGATTTCAGAATACTTATTGGCTAATTGTGAGTACCATTTATACGAGAACCAATTCTGTACATTGGTAATACTCTTTCGCTGCATATTATATGTGATTTATAGGAATAAGTGTTTATATAAAATATATTTATTTTATAAGTATTGCGTTACCGTGACAGAGGTCTCACATAAATCCTCTGCATATTCATTAACTGAAAGCTAAATAACCTGATGATTCTGAAAAATATCACACTTCTGTGGAAAGTGATACTGATGCTAAGAATCAAGAACAATAACAATGAAAGTTACACATTTACCTTCTGTACTACCTATTGAGAACAAATTGAATGGATTTAAATTTTATTTACTGGAGATTATTGTACGTTATTATTTTTTAAGAAGAAACTGGTGAATAATTTCATATTTTTATAAATTGAATTCATCTATAGAATTGTATTTTGATCTAATTGATTAGCTAAGGGTCTTTATTTCTTGTACTTTCAGCTTAGATGGAATGTGACAACGTGTTATGCTTTTTCGTGACTGCAGCCGTTGTTCATCAATTTTTGAGAAGTCAAAATGATTTAGACAGAATAAACTTTTTTAACAACAACCTTCGACAAACATTTAAGCAAACATCATTAATCACATTGTTTTATGTAAATACATAGGATTCTCGTCATTAACAAGTATTAAGTACGAGGGACAGTTATTTTGCTCAAAAATAATATTAATATATTTATGACTTTTAAATACCAGCGGACGTTTCACATCGTGGTAAGTAGGTACTATTCTTGGACATTTAAACAAGACATAGTCTCTTCAGGAAAGGTCATTTCAAAAATCGTTAATAAGTAAAATATTGTTTAGAAAACAAACATTTGTATATATGTATATAATTTGTATATGACTTCATATAAAAGAAATTATTTCCAGTGTTATTCATTGTTAAAATTATCAGATTTTAAGTAATTTGAGGTTTTTTCATGAAACATGTGTTTTTAAGTTTTAATCTGATTGATTATTGCCTTTGATAATGTTACTAATGTACTATAATTGACGTGGATTAAATGTAGGTTTACAGAATAATCATTAGTTATCTAAATAAATACATTTTAATTCATTCTTGGTCACAAGAGTGAGTATAAAATTGCTCAAAGTGCATTCCCTAACAAACTAGTAAGTAATAATTTTAATGGTAAGACTGTCACTCCATTTTCGAGTTACCTTTTGTCATATTACTCGTTAATTGATAAAATTTACAAATTTGGATACTAAAAATTGGGTCTTAGTTTTACGTAATCAGTACTAAAGACCACTTCATCAGAATATATATTTTATTGGAAGCTTATTGCATAGTACGTTCACATATTGTTTCTCTGAATAATTTCTTAACGCTCAAATATTAATATTTATAGAATTAACTTTTATTTTTTTCAATAATAGTTGATTGCTATCTATAAATTGTTTGTGCTCTTCATAAAACATCAAGGCTAATTGCTTTTTTGCTTGTCGACAATATCATCGGCTGCTGGCATAGTTACTGGTTCTATATAATCATTCCGCTTTAAAATTTTTTGGGTTACATTGTCTGTTGAATTCGTAAGGAAAATAAGTCGAAATAGCTGTCTTGATATTAGAGATCATTAGATTTTGCCAAGATTTTAGATGTGTTTGATGCTTAATCTTGGAGTGTGGAATGGGTTCTTAATCAAACAAACTAAAGAAAACAATATTTAAAGTTACTGGGTAGAACAAAAAAACTCCAAAGCCTACGACTATTTTCGCAAAACGATACCTTTTTTTTCTTCCTTGAGTGAAGAAGAAGAAAATCGAAAGAATCTAACTGCTTTTATGTTTTCTTCCACTTAAAATTTGGCTGTATTCCAAGCGTGAGTTAACAAAGCCTTACTGAGATAGTGCGTTCACCACCTATGAATTCATTTTAACTTGTAAATATCAAAAATGGTAGTGAAGCTTTTTGAAAAACGTTCAATTTTAATAAAAGAAGCTTTCTACATTTCTGATCACTTGTAATATTTTATCTTAAGTTTTTTTCTATCATTACAGAAAATGCCATTAGTAAAACACTGGATACTAAGTGATATATGGCGATTTATATTTCTAATTTCAAGAATCTATTTTCCACGTTTATTAAGGTTTATGAATGTAGTCGCTGTTATCGTAACCCGTTAGTTCCATATAGTTTTTTATTCATTTTGTGATAATTAAAAAAATTGCAATCTTATCTTAAAATATTAAGAAATATTTAGGTAATAGTTTATAATTGTTAATTACTTAGTAATCAAACATGTAAAACAATTTTGTTGAACACAATATTATATTCCTTTACTCGTAAACATATTTACATACATAACATACGAGTATGTTCATAAAAGACTTTTTGATAACTGAGCAAACAAATTATAGACTAAACCAGTATTTTAAATTTACTTTACTAAAAATAAAGCCACTAGACTGGGCCACCAATTAATAAAGTTAATGTTATATATTATAGTATAAATCTGAAGGATTTGACTGCTTGTTTGTTTGGTGAAACATAACACAGCTTCTTAATATAGACTGTACAAAAATATTAGGCCAGATCCTATTAAAATTATTAAAAAGATTGTTCTATTAAGTAGGTTTAGAAAAGTAAAATAATATTAATAAAGATGTATTATTCCAGCATGATTTGGTGATTTTGAACTTTTTAGAAATCCTTTGTTTACTTAAGGTTTATAAATATATAATCCAACACCAAAATATAAGTCGGTTTATTTATTTAATACCCAAAAGGATTTTCTTTAGACTATATAATTTTTATATTTTAACTAGCTTTTGCCGCGACTTCGTCCGCGTGGAATAGTGACTTCCAGCAGATTTTTGGTTCTTCCCACATAGTTCCCGTTCTTGCGGGGTTTTCGGATTGGTCGAGTTCCCGTAGAATTTTTAGGATAAAATCTATTTTTTTTTATTCACAATGAAGTATTCTTAACCAACAACATATTTATTTGTTTATTTGAATAAAGATTAATATTATTATGTTGATACAACTTAAACAAATTATTTCGACCAAATTAGGTACCATAAAAACGGTTTTTGTGAGTTAATCTTAAAAGGTAGACATATACTGTCGCGGACTGTTTTTTAGATCAATTAAAGAGCTATTATTCTTTAACACATATTTTTTGTATATCTTGAACCGTTTTCACGCGCACGCAACGGAAGGCTTCAAAGATGAAATAATTTCTCCCGTTTTTTACACATTTACCACTATATCTTTGCTCCTATTGGTCGTAGAGTGATTTTATATAGTCCACAGCCTTCCTCGATAACTGGACTACCAAACACAAAAAGAATTATTCAATTTGAACCAGTAGTTTCGGAGATTAGCGCTTTCAAACAAACAAACAAACAAACAAACTCTTCAGCTTTTTAATATTAGTATAGATGTTAATACAATTTGTTACAGATTTATTTCAAATTGATTACGAGATTGTTATTCAAAACTCTTCGATAAATATTCTAGAGCTGCAATTTGTATACATGACATACTGCATCAGCATTCCATTTAAATTGATCCGGAAACAAATGAAAATCGAACTTTCTAAAATTTCTGACAAATCATGGTTACTTTTTTAATTAATTTACCCTTAATAAATGAATATTTACCAAGTCCGTCCTAAAATTAACTGGCCTAATTCAGTTCTACTTGTTTTAGTTTTATTTCCTTCATTAGTAAATATGTAGTTATGCCAATTCATTATGGATCGCCTACGTACTGCCACATAATCATTCAATAATATACATTGCAAGTGTACTACATAATTAATAAAAATTTAATAAATTGTTTAATTTCAGCGATTTAAATATAGCTCTAGAATCTATCAAGGAGGCCATTGATACGATCGGTATATCCGAATTCCCACAACCAACTGCGTTATTAATAATAATAATAACCTTAAAGAGTATTATAAAATCAAAATTTATACACTTACACTAAATATGTATTTTTTGAATTGTTTCATTTCGTAGATACAAACAGTCTGAAAAGGCAAATAATAGCGCAGAGGATCGATCAAATAAAAAAATCTTTTATTCTGGCTTCCGATGTTTTAAGAAAGTTCAATAGTTCACAAAGTATCTTGTTATTTTTGTTTATTTCATCTTTCACTGTGAATATTGCTTTTACGATATACAGTATACTATTATTACGAAGAGGTTTGTATTTAAATAACATTAACATTGTGGTCTTACTTTTACCTTACCATACGATAGGATGAGTAGTTGAATGTACTTACATATATGTAGTA